TTGCTCTTATGTTGGAGGCCATCGCTCTTAGGTTGGAGGCCATCGCTACTAGGGTGGAGGCCATTGCTCTTATGTTGCAGGCCATCGCTCTTATGTTGGAGGCCATTGCTCTTAGGTTGGAAGCCATTGCTCTTATGTTGGAGGCCATCGCTCTTGGGTTGGAGGACATTGCTCTTAGGTTGGAGGCCATCGCTCTTAGGTTGGAGGCCATTGCTCTTATGTTGGAGGCCATCGCTCGTAGGTTGGAGGCCATCGCTCTTAGGTTGGAGGCATTAGCTCTTATGTTTTGGGATGATGATGAGGTCGCGGTGGTGGTAGCCGCATAAACAAACCAAGGCACCAAACCCAAATGTTCACTCTAGGCGCACCGGCCATCCCTACACCAAAAAACACCCATCACCAAGGGACAAAGTATGCAGCCACTCACTCAGCGCAGCCAAGCAAAGTGACAAAAAGTAAAAAGACGTAAAGAACCAAGACCGAGCCATCACCCTAGACTGGCATATAGCCGTCTGATACACGTCCCACTGGGAGTCTGGGGAGGACATGGCAGCCTGGCCGTCACTCCCCCGGGATGGCTAAGGCCCTGACCCGCGGGACAAACAAAACCCGGCAGCAACGGTCACCGCGTTTGCATCCCTGCTTGCACATTCAGCAGCTATCATTCCCCCTGTCTTGCCGTTTCATCTTGTACCTTGGCTGTGCCTACCAAACCCAACTAGACCCCCTTCAGATCAGCCACGAGTCACCACAGGGATGACACCGTAGGACCCCAAAAGCGGGAAACCAAACCAAGTCACGACCCAACCAGTTCACCCACAACAACGTACGGGTCAGTCACGTTGTTTTCAGTTGACCCAGGGGGACAACTCAACGTCCCTTACCCCGAAACCGGCAGGAGTTGCGTGCTCCCGTTCTCCCTATAGACCAATTAAACAAACATCGAGAAACCAACCCGGTGAAAACCGGAGAAACGCCGGACCCGAAAGACCGGATTGGGTTCGCCCTTGTCATCTGTAAACGTTCCAACCTACAACCCAAGATACCACTTACAGACAAGGTTGCCCGGTGGCGCCCACGCACTAGGTTGGAGGCCATCGCTCTTAGGTTGGAGGCCATTGCTCTTATGTTGGAGGCCATTGCTCTTAGGTTGGAGGCCATTGCTCTTAGGTTGG